ATGGAGCAGACAAATTATACACCTTTCTCGGAATGTTCCCCCCTGAACAACAGAGCGTATATTATCATAACCGCAAGAATTGACAGCAGTGTCTTAAAACAATACGAAGTAACTGACAGGGGGTTGATTAGGTACGGCATTGACGAACGGGTGACAGTTATAACTGTGAACTGAATACAATCCCATCGAAGATCATCGGTCGTTTATACGATACCAGCTGATTGACAATGTTCTTGTCTTCCCCTCTTAAAAACCACAGAACTTGTTATGATAAATAGATTTTAATTTTATTTATAAGGTTCACATTTTGCTACCAGAAGATTTTACTGTGTACTTCCGTGTTGATTTACGATATTTATGTACATTTATTTATCTTCAATAAATTAAGAAAAACATATAAAATAAAATCGATATTGATGTATAAAGCATTACGTCAGTCATTCTGCAGTTTGAATTACTTAAACTGGCACTTTTAGTTGAGTAATTTAAAAAAAACTTCACATTTATACCATTGTACTTGTATGACATTTTAACCCAACTGCATATTTTAAAAGCGTGTTTTGTACTTTAACTACCTTTCACTGCCATTAAATTTATTTTCACAGGGAAAAAAGCCGCGAAGATGTGTAAACCATCAATTTCAGTTAATATTTTTAACCTGTTTTGGACTTGGTCATCTTCTTAAGGGGTAAGAAAAAAAAATTATCAATTCAGTTCATCACAAGGAAACTGTGTGTGAGATCTACAAACTTGAATGTCAGTAATTATTTCAACGCAACATCGTACATCATCTTTATCAATACCTTGATGTCAGACTATTTTATCTTAACAATGTATATTGAAGCAGCGCCAACACATGGTTCTAGGAATTATTACTATTATTTTTAATGAAACACATTAAGGTTCTGACAGCAAGGCAAATCAATCAACTTAGCTGATACCTGAGCCTTTTCGACAAATTCCACGGAATTTGATGGTCTTCAGAAGAAAAAAAGAGGAGAAAATTCACAAGGATCTCTTCTGCAGTTACGTCAATAGCGCTTTAACAGGCTTTTTAATTTTCAGGTTTTATTTTTCAGAAACAAATGAAACACCTTCGGGTCTCAAGTTCAATATTTCTTTTTCGCTAATTTTTACAGATGACAAAAAAAGCTTTGGAAGAACAATCCCTTTCATATATGTATATTTAATTCTGAATGATTAATGGATAAAAATTGACCAAGACTTCTATTGCTTATATAACTATTAGATAATACTTTCTCTCAAATCTGTAGAAAAAGAAAAGACAGCAGTAATCTATAGAGATATTATGAGAGCGGTTTGAATTAATTCATTACAAGAATGAAAATCTTTGTCTCCTTTCAAATTATGTATGAAACTTGACCCATTTCCCTACTGGCACAGTGGATTAAAATGAAATCGTTAGCATTTTTAACAAATTTACCAGATGAAACCGGTACGTGTATCTTCAAAGTAGAGACGTTTAATTTTATGAATATTTTATTCCTCATAATTAGATTTGGCATCAGGATTTCGTTGAGATGGATTTATATCAAATCAAAATTTCATATAAACATAGTCTCTTTTAACTTTAAAGAAATTTTATCACTTAATTAAATCATTTAAACGGGGAAAAAGCTGCCGTCAAATAAAGTCAAATTAATATTGCAAAATTACAGTGTATTTACCGAAATCAGTACTTTTACCTTTAAAATAAGACAACTATACATATTTGTACGTGAATTTATATTTGCCTCTTTTTTCTCAGCTTCTTTGTAGCTATTATATAACTGCTCTTTTTTTCAACATCTTGTCCAACTGCAAATGAAATAGTGTCGAACCTTTGAATGATTCAAGTTAGAAATATACCGTATTTTGACCAAAATATATTTTTTTAGAGTTGGAGAACACAGTTCACAGAAAAATATTCACCATTTTCCAGTTGACAAGGAATAATTCATATTTTATACCTGAGAATAATCCATTTTCCTTTTACCTGGTGACAGACTGCGAAAACAATCCTTCCTAACAAATTCTTAAATGTTCCTAGCTGATGTGATGTATTGCACGTACTTAACTTTTTTTCTCTCAAAGTAAGCTAGATAGTGTCTTTTCTACATGCATGTGTTTTTTTCTTTGTTCCTTTGATTATAAAATAGTTTTAACACGTCAATGTATTATTTTTAAGTAAGAAGAAAGGGGAAAAACTGACCCCATATAGAATTCCTTTGCAAGATATAATATAACAAGGTTTCTTTCGCATTTACGTAAATGATTGCACGTACTCCACATTTTTTTCCTTTTAAGGTAAGTTTGTTGTGATGTTATTAGAGATACAAGTCGTATATTAATTTCATGGTTACGGAGGATCACCGAAGCTGTGTGCTCCCTCTGTGAGATCCCTTTGTAAGACAATATTATTAGATAGCTTATGTTATTTACGGAGGGATATGAGCAGTCTCTCGATGTCAATGTTTTACACGTCGGGTTGAATTCAAAGATATATTTATATATACATATATTCCGGCCACACCCTTGACACTAGATAGTGGATCTTTGTGTTTAAAATAGCGCGATTTTTATCTATTTTTTATTCTGTTGACAGATATACCAGTACTTAAACGTCACTTACACCACAAGGACGATAGTATCATTTTTTTTGTTTAAATACATATATAATAGCCGTATATATAATAATATATAAATTCCTTGCAAAACGGTGCTTTAAAACTGTCCAGAATAATCAACATGTAGTAATTACGTCATTCCATGTTGTGTTATTTTAATTTTAAACCTGTATTAACACGGCTTCGCGCATGTATTCTTACTTGATGAAATTTTTGTTTTGCAAGAATTAAGCATTTGGGCCATCTTTCAAAAGACTGTTTACCCTCTCCCGACCGATATAAAAATATCTCTGTTGAAAACTGTTTAACCTGCGGAAACAAAAATTACCTGTATTTCTTGTAGGAAATTCAGCATTGATGTTAAACAATATCGGGGATTGGGGCACATACATATCGACCTAATTTCTTCAATCCTGAGTTGAGAGAGGGCAAATAAACACAATTATTGAAGTGATTTAAGCAAGGGTTACTTCCCATTGGGCGCCATATTTTAAGTTTCCTTCAGTAGTCAACCAAGTTAATCATAGAATTGTTTATACTTGGCACTCCAGTATAGATAACACACTATTATTATGAACCGTTGTTAAAGCATTTTTTAATTCATAATTGCTTTATATACATTATATACATACATGTTAGGATTTTTCACCATTTATTTCTTGCCAAACATGATCAAACACTGTCTTAAAAGATGGCGGCCAAGGCAATAACTCGGATGAAAAAACTTCGTAAGATAAACTTTCTTTTACATGAAATTCCCTGCATGATTTTTTTTTTGCAAAATCAACTATTAAAGAAAACTGCATTGAAAACACACCGTATTGTGATTAATAAAAATGCGTCTCAATTATTTGCAATCTTACATATTTTACTCAGTACTTATAATTAGTATCTGTAAAAATCTTACAGGATTCAGAAACATGCAACTTCCATGGGGCTTTTACCTCGTCAGGTACTATGATTTTATTATCAAAGAAGAAAAACCAGCTTTTCTGTTGCATTTTTTGTCTACTTATGCAAGTTACTGTATATTGTTATATTCGATAAAGGTAGGTCTTTATCACTAGCTCAATATGCTATAATCTGTATCTCGAGTTTTTAATTAGGAGAATATCTCGAACACATGCAGTTAGTACCCCTTTCTCTTTTTCAGATGAAAGAAAATTGTATCTTCAGAATTTTAACTTTTGTAAAATATACGTTACATTACAAAGGTATCGATTTTAATATTTCGAGGAAAAAAAAACAATTTTGCCATGGTAAAACATTAACAAATGGTATCTACGATAAAAAAATCAAATCTTTAAGAAAAAAAGTTTGTACTAACCCTCATTCCCAACTCCAACAAATTTACTCCATGTGAATCGCGCTTTTATCATTTGATCAAGGTGACTAGATTAGACTTAAAATAGATTTAGATTAGTTGCTTTAATAAGTACACGTACATATACAACGACTTTGCTTTAACTCTGCTCTCTTGAAAATTTTTGAAATTGACAATATGCATATTCTTTTTGTTTATGATAAAAAAAAAATAACAAAGAGTTGTGTGTTTTAAAAGATGGAAAATCAGCCAAGAGTAAATTGAGGTCTTTCGAGTGGTTCGACTGGTAAAAAGTTGGGACGTATTATATACTACTGAATACCAAGTAAAAGTTATTTATCCAGTGTGACTAGTAAATAGTTAACTATACTGACCAAAAAAAAAAATCATCGTAGAAAAATTTTACAACAAAGGTTCGGAGACCCACAAGATAAATAACAAGAACTGTATATAATAACAAGCATATACGAGTTATTGTTCTTTATTTTCCCCAGTTTTACTCCGTTGACCTCGTGCTACATGGTAACAATCGATCATAAGTATACATAGCCTTGAGTATCATTTTATTCTCACTTCTACAATCAATCAAAGGGGATTCTAGATGTAGAAAAAGAAATTTTTAAACTTAAGCTTTTTTTATAATTGACTTGTGTACTGATCAAAATTTGAACTGCTGGACCTACTTATTTTGATTTTTCCCGATAATTCTTAATTTACGTCTTTTAATATATGAAGACGTAGAAGATTATACGATAACATAGAATAACCTGGTACACTTTACTTCCCCCGCTAAATATACAGATATACATCAACATTAAACAACCCTCGTATACCCGTGTACGGACATTTTACATTCATTCATTTGAATTGTTAACATGTTGATTTCAAGACAACAATCATTACGCCTGCAATAAGTGTCAAACAGCTTTTATTCGTGACACCTCTCATATATATATATATATATATATATATATATATATATATATATATATATATATATATATATATATATATATATATATATTAAACAGCGAAACAAGAACAGAAACCTACCCTATTAAAAGTGCCCTGTCACCGGCCGAAGCCGAGAAGATGTTTGTCGTATCCTCCGAGTCTTCCTTACTGGTAGATGGCAGAAGAGGGTGTCTAGTTTTCGACTTGCGTCCCTTCTGGAATCCATACATTTGACCCCCTTCTGAACGACTTGCTTGCTTATACAGAGCATCATAAGTATTGTCACTGCCATAAGTCGAATTATAGAAACCCTCCGGTAAGTTTACTAAAGGTTCTACCCTTCCGCTTTGCTCGCTGTATTGAGATTGGCTTGTCCCCGGCGGATCCACGGGTTCGGTTTTTATATCTAAGTAGGGATACGGATAGGTCCTGGTAAACTCTCCTCCGGTTGTAAGGTGACGATGATGATGAAGTTTCTGTCTAGACTGATGTTTGAGGGGTTCAGTGTTAGGATGGGGCGCAGACGTCTGCGTTTCTGGAAACATACATGTCGATAGACCAAAAGTTTCTTGTGAATTTCCCCTGGAACCATACGTCGCCGATCTAAAAATAAATAGCCTTGTTTAACATTAAAAGTATTATTATTTTTTTTTGTTATAAAATCGTGTACAACTACTTTAATAAATTCTATAAAAGACCTGATAGTAATTGAATATGTCACACCAAACTATATTTTAATTCTATCCTACACTCCCTCCAACTAATATTTGATTATTTTATGATTATCAGTTTTATGATTATAATTTACTGTACAATACACATACCTAAATAACCAATTCGGCCAATTTTGAATTTAATTTAAAATCAATTAATTTTTCAATGTTTTTTTTTTTATATCATTTATTTATTCATAGTATTAGTTCGCACGCACTTGATAACTCAATGTTTACGAAAAACAATTATCTCCCTAGCGATGCATCCTAATGTTCTTTCTTTGTAATTCAATATTGTTTTACTTAAATGCAAGATTATGAAGTCCATGATTATTTATTAAATACAATTCCCCAAGTGCGCAGTATTTAAGTTAATCGTAAATCTACAGTAAGGCATTTGTCTATTTCAAAACCAAGTTAATGTTTTTGACTTTTTCTATATATCACATTTCCATATTTGGTCAAAAATGCAAAGTCATCAGCAGTTTAATTTCTCCGTTGGAACTTTTTAAGACTAAAAGTCAACAAATAAATAGAATCATAATGCTGCCATATATTTTCAAAATTTGGCAACTCGACACGTTAATGAAAATGCAACAGAAAAAATAGAATTCTGTTAAAATTAATTTGTAATTATAATGTTTCTTTGCATTTTTTTTTAGATATAATTTAAGTTCTTGTTTGTTACACACTTACTTTGAGGGTCTCCTACAAGAAGAGAAGACAGTTCTGAACAAGTTATTAAACAAAATATTATTTTATACTGATTCCCCCCCCCCCCCCACAATCTTCATCAAATATTAGTAATAACGAAGAAATAATATGAGAAGTATAAAAAAACAAAGACTGTACTAAATTTTGAAGAAATAAAAAGAATTCAGAAAATTATTAATGAAATTGTGATTGTTTTTCCTTTAAATAAATTTGCTGGAAAAAAGGAAAATCAACATACTTAAATGGAATGCCATGATAGACTTCATTGTTCATATGTTGTTCCTTGCTCTTGCATACAAACATAATGTTGTAAATTTTGAATTTACTCGGGGTAAGTAAATGCAAACTATACAACATGATAACTAGGTATCATGTTGTAAATTTTGCATTTACCTCTCCCTTGTCAATTCAAAATTTACAACATGATATAAACATTACCTGCTAGCATGTTCCTTGTGAACAAGAGTCTGATCTGCAACACAGGACTGAGTGCTCCTCTGAAAGGAACCATTGTGTCCTCTAAAAGGACCAGGATTTTTGGAACTTGCAGTCTGATGAAAAGTTTCGTCCAGACTCTGTCGACGAGGCAACATTACGGATTGTGTCAAGCTGCAATCCAAGTCCAAACTCTTCGAAGTTTTGTTGCCAAGCCTTGATCGATTAGACATAACCTGTGGCCCAAACTCTGGATCGTATCTGGTATTTTGACCGTACGCATCCCTAGCTGTAGATGACCCAAACATCTCGCTCCAAGAAGTTGTGGTATAAGAATAAACAGAAGAGTGTCCTTGTGGATCCATAATGAACTGTCCTACAGGTCCCTTGTACTCATACTCGCATGAAGATCTCCTGGGGTGTCTTACACATGAAGAATCTGAAATCGGGACACTGGACTCTAATCTGGTTAAAGAGGTGTCCAGTGGTAGGCTATGACTGGGTTCATCCATGGCTAGGGGAGAGTCTGGAATCGAGACGAATTTGCGGGGTTGTGCCCTGACCGGGTATACCCGACCCTCCTCTTTTCTCTCCTCTCTGTGCCTAGATCAATGAACGCATCAAAATCGGTGAGCTTTTATAAATCTTAATAAAGAGATATAATGAAAAATGTTGAAAACTAGTCATATAGAAATACGAGAACCATTACCATCTTTTAATATTTAATACTGTGATTTTGACGTTCGACTGCATTTGTTGTCAAGGAAAAAATTAGCTGCAATGTGCGTCAAGGTATATTGTGTTCCCCAGTGGTAATGAAAGTGGAGCAATATCTAGTACTGTTTTCTCTGTAATTTACACTGATCGATTGGCATCTTTTTCAGAATGAGTTTTATCAAAAGGGTCGATCTTATTTTGTGAAAATTAATGACGTAGACCACAAATTAACTGATTTTACGTCATCGATTTAAGCGTCGTCTTGGGAATATCTCTGTAACCTGAAAGATGTCACACATGCACTCTTTCGTGGACAAATGAAAGCAAATGAAACAATCAGAAAAAAATAAACAATGCTATTTCAAAACACATCAATTAATAAAAACCTACGCTAGGTTTCTATATAATGAAAATTGCTGAGTTACCATCTGTGATGAGCGCAGTTCATAAAATTTTCATAGACGATTCAAACAAACATTTTGTATGTCTCTCGATTGACGTAAGCCTAAATGACAGTATAGTTAATCCTGAGTAAATTATTTATGTCAAAACTACATTAATTTATTAACTGTTTTCTTATAAGTGAAAAGCTGTGCGAACGTTGCACGACAATTGAATAACCGGTCTAAGTAGGAGGTGAAGAAATCTATTTTTTTACTTCTAATCTTGGACTGTTGGAGAGGAAAAAACAACCGCAAAGCAATTTCATTGACTGTATATCTATATACATTTATATCAAAGCTGTAAGCAGCTATGTTTAGAAATGGATATACCATTGATAGCGTATGACGTTCAAGTCTTTGTGTCTGCAGAAAGAAACAGCATCCAATCTAATTAATGAATGATAAAATGTATGCCTTGCTCTCCTACCAAAATTAGTTATTTAGACATTGTCCATTTAAAGCAAGTACATTATAGAATACGAGTATATGCTACGTATATCAATTATTTAAATAAAAACGAAATATCTTGGAATAGTAAGGTTATTTCATTTTCAAGTCGAAAACTTTGACCGAATATCTAATTAAACACAGAGCATTTTTAAAATTGACCGTGAAGCCACGAGCGCATTTATTTTACATGCATTTATATATTTATTGCATTCTTAATTAATAAAAAGTTTTGTTTTCATAATTATGTGATATGCCTGACGTCACAATAACCATAACAGCTTCCTAGACTGATATCTGAAGATCTTCTGTGTTGATACCAGTTTGGGAATTTAAAATCATTACTTTTCATAATGACCTAATTTTTTGTTCGCATTCTCTTAATTTGACGTCCCTGTTCTTTGATAAACTATGCCTGTGCGGTTGTTTCTTTGCATTCGGCGGGTGTGACATGTCTACAGGGGTTGCTTATTCCTATTAGGCCCCTGATCCCATCTCTGGAATCACCAGGATTCTGTGCTTTATGTCTTCTTCACAGAATTGTGTTGTTTTAAATTAATTATGATTTTTTTTAGATCGTTCCCTGTTCGATATCTTCACCTTTTTCATTCATACATACCATTTTCCACATCACAACCTGTATCGTATATATTAATTTCAATGCATATTGATAATATTTACGAGAAATATTCTAATAAGCACGTGTGTAAAACAAACAGTGTTTCAAAGGGTATAACAAAGTGCAAAACAGAACGTATTTCAAAGAGCTTAATTAGGATATATGGACTTCTCGATTGTTTTATTCTGCGCTAATTTTTGTATGTAAAAATATACAAACATTGTAAATCAAAATATATATGATTCTTAAATTTGAAGAAAAAAATATCTACATGGTATTTGCATTCAAGAAGTTTGAGAAAAACCTTGATCCTGTATTCCTGAACGTAATGCATTAAAAAGAATATAGTCCACACCAAATAAATTTATTAATTCTCATTTTAGAATATTGGAGAAAGATGTTGTTTCCAATTATACCCAGGTATACCAGTAAGTTCTATTTTTAAAAATTATAGAATAGTTCAGACCTCAACGGAGAAATAAACAAAATACACACAATAAAGCATGATATACAACTAGCTGATTGACTGCCCCCCCCCCCTTCTCACCTACCCCCTTTTTCAGAATTTTAAATACAAGAGCAGGCTATGTTAATAATTGAAGTAAATTAACACCCCCACACAGGGAAATAAAACTAATTGTTTTTAATCTTTAAGTTTTTTCCCCATTAACATTAATTAAATTTGTTAAAAATTACATAGCACCTCCGTTCTTAATCAATTAACAGAATTACTTACATTTAAACAGATGGTCTAGTCCTCCCTCCAACTTCTATTTTTCAAATAAAAGTGAAACTTTTCTGCAAACACGTGTACGTTGCGAGCTTCCAACAGGTAAACTGAAAGTAAACGATAACTATTCCTGATCGTATGTCACGTCATTGTGTTATTTATAGAACGATCGGGGGGCGATTTTCCATTCCAGAGTTTGACGCCTACACGACGACATTGCACGTTTCAAACTATTTTTTTTTTTAAATTAGTACCTTGCGGAGTTTTAACGATTTGATGCTCATTTAGAAAATGAGTGATTAAAAATTATTACAAACACTTAAATGGAGGAACATATAAAATTGTGTGAAAAACACTTTCTTCTGTGTGCTTAATTGTAAACGGCAGTTGCCATGTATGATTTTTCTAATTCTCCAGTATATTTGTAATGATATTTGTTGTGTCAATTACAGCATTTGGCTTTTAGCGTTTTCCCAGCTCGTACGAAAAGATCCGGAACATAAAAAAAATACATTTTAAGGATTGATGACATTTTTTGATAAACTCAACAAAAGAATGGAGAAGTTTGGCGACGGGAGAAAATTGACGTCATCAGCCAGTTTTTAATCTCGTACCTTGTGAAGTTAAGTTCCCATTGAATCTAATAAAGTACACGTAAATTCATTTCTCCTTCCTGTTCAGTCATCTCTATTTACATCGTCGCAAACCACGGCCAATATATACGATCCTCTTCCATTCTGGTAGGAGACAGAGAGAGCTATATCGCGGACTCCGGACAGTGGCTTGAGACGATGCTTTATTTACCATTTCTTCGGAAGTCTTCCTGTTGAGTTGGAACTCATTTTCTGGAATTGGTGGTTGTTTGAACAAATAAATGTAGGTTTTAATACTTTTACCACGTATATTTACGAGTAACAAGAGCTATGAATGATTTGTTGGCCTAAAATAGAAGTACATTTCTTTGTGACATCTAATTAAGGCCAAATGTGGGTCATAAGCATAGGTTCCTTTGGTCAATAAAAGTATGCTGCTAGTAATAGATTTTTCTAACGTATTTGTTAAGTTCAGTGATTTTTTTATATTGTATATACGATTTGTCTTGAACTTATATAAGAAAATGTTAATGTTATGAACAAGCAATTAACAGCAAGGTTCAAAATGAACGGGGCAGAATTTCTAATAAATGTACAATCCATTTTCTTTTTTTATTCTCTCGATTAGAATGAAACATATGTTTAACTCATGAACTAGAAAAAGGACTTTCATCTGCGTAGAATGATGAAGGATCAATATTAAACTTTTTTTCACAAATTATACTTCCCGATTCATCACATGACTCAATAATCATCTCCGATGTCGTTGTTTTCAACCTCCAGAGGTAATGCAGACAAACTTTTAGTATTCCTATATCATTTGGAAATAATAATAAAAGAGTTTTCTTTTGAAAAAGTTTTCCTTTAATAGGTTTTGCCTACAACTCTAGATCATGTAGTAACCAAATTCTCATTCTCAAGATCGACTTTCAAAATTATATGACTACTAAAGTATTCATTGTACCCTATTTCCTTTTTCAAACTACTCTTTTTATCATTAGGCATATTATATTTTGGAATATGATTAGTTGTGTTTTATTAATGAAATGAAGGTCTTGTCACGAGGAATGTACTTGTAAAATAGGAAAGTTATTTCCAAGGTTCATTTTTTTAAATGGGTCAAACCCAGAGGTCAAGATTAAAAAGTAAAAAATGTTTATATCCATGGAAAGGTTTTATCACAATGAATATAAATGTGAAGTATGAAAACCCTACCACTAACTGTTCAAAATTTATGGCCAAGGTAAATTCTTGCAAAATTGGGTCAAACTCAAATGTCAGGGTCAATTGTTCAAATATTTTGGTACCCAAAGGAAGGTCTTGTAAAAAGGAATACACATTTGGAAGACGTATACCATAGCTACAACCATCAAAAGTTTATGGGCAGTGTTAAAGTTCCTGCGGACAATCAGAGAAACGGACGAACAGACGAACGAAAACTACATGATAACAGAAGCATACAATTACCGAATACTCGTACATGTATATTCCCTTGTAAGGTATTGCATGTCATGGGCAATTTTATATGGTCATTGACATGGTCATTGACACAACCTATTAACGAAATTTTGGCAAATTGCGTTTTCAAAATTGACGTATTTCTACTAACATCTGTTTCTCGTAACTTCTCTCTCATTTCATACGCAGCTACTAAATTGCCTTCTTGAAATGTGATTAGTGGTGTCCTGTAGATCTATATGCATTAAGGTTTCGAATTTTTAATTTTCATCTTTGGAGGCAATATAGTAGTAGGTGTAAAAAAAAAAATCAGGTACATAGAACTCCTGTTACATTTTACGCAGTAGTGATATTATTATATGTTATACAGTGCATGTGGGATACTCATGTACGTGGAGATGACCAAGGGGTGCAATAAGGCTTCAGAATTAAGGCAGGGAAGAAGGCATTTGGGGCGAAAAATGACGGTTATCAACAAAGACATCATCGCAACGTCAAGGGGTCC